TGTAGTGAACACATCTCTCTTTGTGTTTCAGGTTCAGCTAGATGAGAGTCAGATTGACCCAAGCTTCAAGAATCTCTTCAGGCAGCTGGCAGGAGCAGTAAGCACGCTCTCAAAACTTGTAGGAGATAGCAATAGTAGTCCAAGGCATCTGCGCAGTCACATTTAATATAACGCACATCTGTTTGTGCCCACAGGACATGGAGATCAGTGTCACAGAGCTGCAAACCATATTAAACAGGATCATCAGCAAACGTAAAGCACTGCCATTATGAAATGTTTCTAACATAGTTTAGAGTTCAATATTTAAAAAAGACGTGTATTCTTCTCTCTTTTCACTTCACTTCCTGCCGTCCACAGATAAAGACCTGAAGACAGATGGCTTCTCACAAGAAGCTTGTCGCAGCATGATTAACCTCATGGATGTATCCTTGATGTGAAGTTGAAATATCTGCTTCCTGTTTCTTTTGTTTCTGGATCTCTTCACGTTAATGTCTCTCTGACCACGAAATGTTCCTTAGCGTCTTCACTCAGACTGATGGCACTGGGAAGTTGGGCCTGACAGAGTTTCACGTACTCTGGGAAAAGATTAAACGATACCTGGTGAGAGTTAAATTGCATGACTGAGTTAAGAGTGAATAGCTGGTGCACTGGTGTTTCCATTTTGTTATTTGATTCAAACTGGTGGTCTCTTGTCCCCCCCTCCCCGTATCTAGACTGTATTCAGGCAGTTTGACGTGGACAAATCGGGCACCATGAGCTCCTACGAAATGAGAATGGCTCTTGAATCTGCAGGTATTATTCTTTAATATTAAAGTGCAAAAAAGAGAGCAAAAAAAAAAAATCACAAAAGCACTTTTAAGTCCCAGCAGTATATGCAGAAAGCATTTTTTCTGAGTTGTAGGTGGAGCACCTTCGATGACATTTTTTCACATTGTTGTATGGGTTTTCTTGCTTTTGCTTCCTTCAGGTTTCAAGTTGACTAACCACCTGTTCCAGCTGATCATCCTGCGATACACAGAGGCAGACATGGCTGTCGACTTTGACAACTTTGTCACCTGTTTGGTCAGACTGGAGACAATGTTCAGTGAGTGACACTATTGCAGTTGTTCACTGGTTCACAAGGGACAGTCTAACTGCTTGTGCAACTATATCCTGCTTTGCTGTAAAAAACCCCAAACATACAGGGCACGGCTGCAAAGCTTAACAGAAGCTAAAATACGTCGTACTGTTCTCAGTCAAATGATCTTTTTTGTTTCTCTTACTGCAGAAACCTTTAAGAACCTGGACACTGATGGAGACGGTCAGATATCTCTAAACTTCTTCCAGGTATAAATTCCCATCACAAATGCTGTTGTATAAACAAAAGCTTGTTTTTCTCATTCACTCTCTGTGATTTATTAAGAGTTTTCATTCATTAATTCCAACATTCTCTTTGTTCTGCAGTGGATCAGCCTGACCATGTTTGCCTAAAGATGAGTGGACTCCTCTGTAACTTTTGCACTGCAGCTCTTGGTCTGTTATGTGGTTTCAGAAGTGCCTTTTTCCCTTCAGTTCTTCCTCACCCTCTATGCTGCGCATTGCTGAGGTCCTCTGATGCTTAAAAACCTGTAAAATCTTGATTACAGTGCCTGTACTGAAAATGTGTCGCCAACTGAAAGACGCCCGCTTCTCCACTTCGGTCAACTCTGTGATAAAACTGGCTACTCTGGGGTCCGAAATAAAACACCTGATTAAATCTGAGGGTGTGGAGACATACTTGTATTTTTCTTTTCTTTTTTTAACTGGACCAGAACTTGTTAACGTACCATATTTAGTTTACAAGCTAGCTTTACCTTTTCGTAAAGTTAACTGTGTAGGCTACATGCTAAAGCTAGCTTTATAGAAAGTTACTAAACACATGATGAAGTGCCAAAATTGTATTAATGTCACTCAAAGCCCACAGAAACTTTACAGTGTATTTTACTAAGGTAACTATGACATGATACCAAAGCCAAAGTAGTGTTTATATGTTACATTACCAAGTGTAATGTCTTAAATGTGACATGGTCCAGGCCTACGTTGTTTTGCTAGCATTACATAATTTGAAACATTAAGCAGACATAAGGCTGATACAGCGTTACCACGACCAGATTTTGTTTGTAGGGTTTCTTGCCATCAACTTTAAAAATTAAAATAAATTATGTGAAGTTATTTATTTGCTCAATTACATTGTGAGATTACATTCTTCAATCAGCTAGCTGTTGTGTTTTTGGGGTTTCAATCGCGTGTTGCCAACAGGGAAATTTCAGGATGCCCTTCACTGGACAAACTTCGCAACATCACAGTCATAAGATGGTTGAAGGGTGCTTTTAAAAATTGTCATTGTCTGTCTTTATAAATGCTGATAACGATAGACTGGCAAGTAGTTGTTATCAGTCGATAATATTGGCCCACAGATAATTTGGTTGGGTTTTTAATAATTCTGATATAGTATGAATGTGGTTATTAATACATTAGCCAGACTTCCATCTTTAGTATAGCTTGTTTGGGTTTTTCTAATCACTTCACTCTAACTTAATAACGTTATAATTAAATATTTACCACCTAATCTTCAGGGTTTTTTCCGCCCCTTTGACGTGAGAGAGGTTTGACTCCATTTGTGTTTGAGCTTTGTTGCATGTTGGGGTTTCGGTAAATACCTCTGTGGCCAAATTCAAATGGCGACTGCTTAAATCAGCTGCTTATATTTGAAGACAATCTTTAGAAAACCCAGTGCTGGATGCAGTCGAAGTGGAGAGTTGCTTAGTGTGCTGGCTGGCATAGATGACTGTGCGTTATAAATCTATTAGTAGTTTGTACTGTAGCATCACTGCTGGCCTCTTACATCCTGTGCCAAACTTTGCTTTCACCTCAGCATAAAGGGCCCGTTCAGATTTTGCAGAGACAATGGTGAGGTGCTGGATCATTGTGAATGTTTTATTCTAATATATACAAGCTTATCTTTATGCATGGCTCTGTTTTTGTTTTCTTGTTTTGTAAAGTAGGAAATAAACTGGACTTTAAAGTGGTAATAAAAAGGGATGTGTCAAAGCTGTTTGAGTCTTGCCTTTTGAAGGGAGCAATATGTCAAAGTTTCGGGTAAGGGTAAACGGGGATGGGTGGATATGTTTGTATGCATGCTGTGTGAAATGTGATATATTGTATGACTGTCTCATTTCTGTCCCGTCAGGAAAGCAAGAGTTTTATCCGAGGTATTCCAGAGTTACATGATGCCGCCTGGAGCATCTACATGTAATGTGCCACAGTTTTTAAATGACAGTCTCTTTTGTTCTGCCAAAAACTTACAAATTTTTGCCTTTTTTTAGTTTTAAGCACTTTTCTTTGAGAAGTACTGCCAAACCCTCACATTTTTAAGATACTCTGACATTCTTGTCTTCTTTAATGTTAAGTGATGTTTGTGTAAAACTGTGTAATGTTTACAGTAATAACTTTTTTGGGTCCCTTTGTGAACCAAACCCTTCGTTATGCAATGCGTTGGTTTACTGTGTAGCTTTCTCTGTATCACTTCTTCTATATAAACTTTGGAAATAAACGTGGAGAGGTTTTGAGTTAATGTCTAAGTTTTATTGGTCTTGCACCGTCCACAGAAAACAAACAAAAAAACAAAATCAAGGCTGCAAATAAATCCGTGGAAATGGGTGTGATCCATGATAGGGGGGAAATACACAAACTTGATATAGTAATAAATAGTACATTTAACAATAACATCCTACAAAAACGGGTACACTGAAATACATTACATACAATATAAGTTCGGTTAATGTACACATCTTTACAACCTTATAAAATTAAGACTTTTACAGCAGATTTTGGCTCTTTTTAAGTTAAATTGCAGACATTTACAAGGGGGATTCTATATTGTAAGATAAGGGAAAAAAATAACACTTTGTTTAAAATTATATAAAAAGAACTGAACAACTTTCTTCTGGAGCTGCTCAGCAGGGGAATGTGTAACCTTTTGTGCACAGTGACATGAAATACGAGAACAGTTGAGTACGTTTTCAAAGATTCTGTGTCTGTGTGTCCAAGTGAGATTCTTCAGGTAACTATAATCCTTTCACCTTTTGACCTCAGGCTAAAATCAGCTCAACTGAGTGGGATTTTCTTCAATGTAGAACATGACCACATAAAATCCCAGAGGCCTAAACACGGCTGTTAGTCTCTTAGGCCGTAGTTGTTGTGCACAATTTTGGTCACCATGGTGGAAACGAGCCTCTCCAGCTGTGCCGCCCGCTGCCTGCCCACCTGGAGGACCTCCTCGTGATTGGCCCTCTCTTCGCTGTCGTAGTCCATCACAACCTGGTTGGTGATCAGGGAGAGGGCGAAGACGCGCATGCCACAGTGCCGAGCGACGATCACCTCATGGGCTGTGCTCATGCCTGGAGAGGAAAAGATCGAGACAAATATAAACAACTCTAATAGAAAGAATAGAGTAGCCATAAACCAGCCAGTGCACACAAGAAAGGATGTAAAAATGCAAATAACACAAAAGAGATGTTTTCCTTGTTTCTAATTGGCTTGGGAACTATGTCCTGTAATGTTGAGAAACCTGGGATTTATAGTGTTATCAAAAGAAGAAGAACTGCAGATCTAATACTGCTGAAACCAACTTCGCTTAAGCTAATTTAGAGGCTTCTAATAGGTTTTACTGCTTTAATTTCATGAGAAGTCTCGGTATGAATGCATACAAAGAAGACTCACATTAGGAAACTTAAATTTATGTTTTTCACGTGTTTTTGCTCCTCAAAGGTAAAGCTTCAAGTTGAGGTTTGGGCAGCCCGGGGCAAATCACATGTTTTCAAAGTCACTGCAGCAAAAGGACTTCAAGCATTTCTACTGAACTGTCATTTCTTGATTCTGATTCTGATTGACACGTCTTAAAAATCCAGATGTGTAGATTATGATCTGATTAAAGTTTTGGGGCTTTACAGTCATTTGTTACATTTACTCAGATCAACAAAACAATCAGCTCACCGACAGCATCAGCGCCAAGTCTATGCAGCATGCGACCCTCTGCGATTGTCTCAAATGTTGGCCCGCCCAGCACACAGTACACTCCCTCCTTTAGGAAATCTCCATAGCCCAGATCCTGTCCCACGTCCATGGCCAGCTGCTGCAGCTCTCTGTCGTATGCATCGGACATGCATTGGAAACGTACGCCAAACCTGACAGACGAAGGAAGACAGGAAGAAGATTAGGTTAAGCTTATAGGAGGTTTAAATGTCTGCTTTTTATGGCTGTACGAGAACACGTCTCACCGCTCATCGTTGGGTCCATTCAGAGGATTGATGCCAGCGAAGCCGGGCAGGTTGAGGTGGTCTTTGATGATCATGATGTCTCCCATTTTAAAGTCATGGTTGAGGCCTCCGGCTGCATTGGTCAGCATCACCGTCTCAACACCGAGCAGCTTGAAGATGCGCATAGGCAATGTAATCTGGAAAAAAGAACATCACAGAATATAAATGAAGAATATTTTGGGGGGATCTTGCTGAAAATTACGGGATATTTTTTTTGCAAACACACACATACCTTCTGTACCGAGTAGCCCTCATACAGGTGGAAACGTCCCTGCATGCAAACGCACGGCCTTCCTTTTAAGTGTCCAAACACCAGCTTCCCCGCATGTCCGTGCACTGTGGGAATTCAAAAATATAACAGTGAACATCAGCAGGAGCTGCTCAGCTGATGTGGAGTCACCATGGTAAAGTGTCGGTGTAGTAGGTGTAGCTCACCTGTGCTCTGCGGAAAGTTGGGGATGTCTTTGTAGTTGAAGGCCACCTGGTCCTTTAACAGGTCAGCGAGCCCTCCGAGCCCTGAGCCGCACACAATGCCCACAGTGGGTCGGATGTCTGTCTGGGCAAGCAGCCAATCAGCAGTGGCCTTGCATTCCTCGTAGCTGTAGCTGGATGACATTAACAAAAGGGCAGAGGTCAGGCAGATCACAGTCCAGTCCAGCACACATGAACACATCTCCCTGCAATCTAATAACTTAAAAAAGTTTAAATCAAATATATTAAAGTCCAATATCAATTTTATTGACTGATTTTTACAACAGTAGAACATTTCAAACTCTTTACTTCCACTCAATTGTGAAACGCGCTTCATTATGTAATTAGATGCGTCGCTCCTCTTGGAATGAATGATTTCTCGACACTCCACCGCGAACAAGAGCGCATGCGCGTATTATTTTTGCCTCCCCTCAGTCCGGTCTATTTTTTCACGCTATCCAAAGCCGGCCGTGAAAGAGCCACGTGCTGAGCAACACTAAACGAGAAAACGTAATTAAAATATTAGAAATCTACTCACCAGCTGTTTGCCTCTGGAAACATTTCGGAAGATAAATGAAGCGGCTGAGAATGTAAGAAAAAAAATGTAGGTGTAAATACAGACTTAAAGTTTTAAGTCTGAAAATAAAAAAAAAGTTTTTAGGGCGTATAAAAATATCAAAGAGAAGGTGGAAACGGTAAAAAAGTCTTCTGTTGAGTTCTTCTTCTCTTTTAGAGTCCCGTGAAGTATTCAGCTCTTCTCTCTCACTTCTGTGGAAAGAGGGGCAGCTGCAGACTTTATCATAGGACCGGCGACTCCCCCCCTCCCGCTCCCTCCTCTGCTGACGCATGTACCTGCTGCAGTTTCATTGGCTGAGCGGACACACCTTCAGACCGGTATGCCACAGAGAAATACACACCCACGGAACATCCTGTACTACAGGTGGAGCTGGATATAAGAGTTTTCACGACATTTCCCACTCCAGCCCACTCATTACTTTTCATGTTATGTTCACATAAACAATCTATGATGTTTCCAGATCCACTGATCCAAGTAATTATATTTATAAGTTAAAGTATCCATTCAGTCTTTATCGATCGTTACTCTCACCGATTAAAAACAAAAGATGTTGTGGTTTCGGACACACAGCGTGTTTTTGAACATCACGTGTTTGTGGTCCACTTGTTCTCGTCATCAGTCTGCGAGTACTGTGTGTTATTGTGTGACGCAAGTTTTAAACCAATACATCTTACTGTCATCTGCAGTATGTGCAGTATGTAGTCATTTGTTTCTATAATGTTGGGCTTATAATATACATTTTCTCCGCTTTAGAAGGAAAATGTAAACTTTTACTTATTTACAGACAATAACAGTAGCTACTTCAGTTATGTTGCATAGTGATTTCACACAATTTTAAAATGTGATACAGTTATGGTCACAGATGTATGTATAAAGACATTTAGTTAGATTATATCCAACAGTCAGATGATGCTCACATGATAATCTGACTAACATCAGTTTTATTGTCTAACTAATTTTTTTCCTCACAATCTACCAACAGAGACAAACATGTACAGTATATTTATGTGTGCAGCGGTGCATAGATGTTGGAATAAATAAGAAATGGATAACTTGTTTCTATATATCCAGAATGAGGACTCAACAGTAATATATAGTATATACAGCACAAGTATGTACAATGGTATGCAGATATATTTACAAGAAAACAGTATAAATAGCACACTTTGGCTCAGCAGCAGATATGCTGAATGTTTAGATAGAGACAATTTTTTTGTCTGATTTTTTTGTAAATGTATTATACTAATATTACTGGTATTTACTTTACCTCGAGTTAAATCTTTTATTTTATAATAAATTCTATTATATTATAATTTATTTGCTTTGATGAAAAATCATGTGACCTGTGTTTGCTCTGAGTATCAGAAACTACCAAATAACTCTACAGCCTTGTTTAATAAATAAGTTTGAAAACAAAAAAAAAAACTAGTTTCTATTCAGCGTTCTCTCTAACTGTGCATTGCTTAAAAATGGATTGCATCATCATTTATCATTATGCATTTATTACTAAAATGTTTTGGAACACGTACAAGTAGACAACACATCCTGTTTAGAGTGTGCCTGTATTGTAAATAAGAAAAGTTACAGCTCAGTAATTAAAAGCATGTCACTTGGACTGAATGTCCAGTAATCGATGTGGATCAACACAGTAAACCACGGATCACAAAACAGATTAATAGATTTGTTTCCAAACTGGGGCGATACAGATGTGATTATGTTGTAAAAGGAGATAACCAATGTCATGGTGGTGAAAGCTGAAAAGTAATTCTCTTTATAAGTTAAAGTATGTAAAGTTGAACTCCATTAAACTATAATGTAAAAGTAGGAGAACTCATTAACCAGCATGACCGGTCAACTTAGTATTTATTACTTACTTTAACATTCACACAGCATTTTTAAGCACATTACAACTAAATCTGGTTAATTTATTTAAAATTGTATGGGAGGCTTTGGCTCAGGTGGTAGAGCGGGTCCTCTACCAATCTGAAGACCGGTGGACTGATTCCTGACCCCTCCAGACTTCCTGCTAATGTATCCTTGGGCATAATCCGTGTGTGTGTGAATATTAGCACTTGTTGTTCCAGTGTGTGTGATTGGAGATATGAAACTTGCAGTTGAAAGTGCTTTGAGGGTTTGACTGAGTAGAAGGATGATACGTAACAACCAGTCCATTTCTAGTTATCATTATTATTATCATTATTATTATTTAAGCTTCTTTTAGAGTAAATCTGACTAGTTTCGAGATCTATTTAGAAATTAATGCGCGAGTCATGAAAGAAGTCGTTTCAGTTTTTCACTGATGTATAGTCTAGCACTGGTGCTGGTGCCAAGCTTGATGTTTTAGGCAGGACAACAATGATTATAAATACCCAGGGCAAAAGTTGGAACCACAAATGAAAAGGCTGGAGCTACTTTCACAACTTCACCAACAGGAAGATCAGGCCTGTTCACTTGTTGTCGATTGTTTTTACCTTCTTGCAAAAAAGAGTAAGGCTGGGCTTATTCAAGTTTCTTAAAAGAGGCCGTCTATGTCTGCTGTGAACGACTGTCTTCGAACAGAGAGGGTGGTCTATGACATCAATTGTCAGCCACCTATGATGCAGCATTGAGATCCTTTCTCAGACGCCTCAATCCCCACTCACACCTTTTGTTAGGTCACCTCAATAGATCACCCAACTAGGTGAAGCAAAACAGCGGTTGCACTCGAAACCTCTGATGGTAATGACCCACACCTTTTTCACACCTTGGCCCATGTGATGAGGCACATGATCAATAGTGGGTCAACAATCCTCTTCAGGGATAACTCCCACTGGGTTTAAATACTTGACACTCTCCACCATTTAGTTTTAGGACTGAAGAAGCCTCTTGGATGGGAGTTGAAATATCTTCACAAAACCTAGAGTCCAATGCTAAGGTATCTCTAATGCATAACTGAAGGGAGAGGAGAGAAGGATGTCCATGAAGGATTTGTGTCAGTGCTGCACTAATGAGGTGAATTTAGATAATTCATCTATCAAGTTTCCTCCACTTATCCAGTTCAAACTATGACTGGACTGGAGCCTAACTCAGTTCTCATAGGGTGGGAGACGGGATACACCATAGACAGGGACACTAATCTATAACAGGGCCAACACAGTGAGACAGATGAGGACCCATGCTTATATTCACACCCACAACCAGTTTAGAAACACCAGTTAGCCTAATGCATGTCTCTGGACTGTGGGAGGTCCTGGGTTTGAATACATCATCTGGCCATGGCCTTTCTGTGTGGAGTTTGCATGCTCTCTGCGTGGTTTCTGAATAAACAGTCATCTGCCTCTATGTGTTAACCCTGTCCAGAGTGTACCTGGCCTCTTGCCGTATGGGAGCTGTGATAGGCTGCTACCTATGACCCTGAATTGGAAAGTTGAATCAAATGGATAGAGATAGTCTCTAATCATTACGTAAGTTATCTATTGATTTAATAGATAAGCAAAGAGGCCAAAACCCCCACATGCTTATCAAAGTCTACAGCAGCCAAAACATAGGTAGGACCTTGAATTGTTGATCGGCACTGACAAGTAAGAAGACTTGTTAGTCTAATTCTTCGTGTGTGTTACAGTTTGTTTCCAGGTCAGTCACCTCTCTGTTTGGGTTCTGGCTTCTGCATATCAGTTTTTGACTTTGCTTGATAACACATGGTAGTTGTTGACCTGTTGACCTCTGTGTCCCTCCCCTCATTTAGAGCTAACACACCTTTGGATTAGCCAGTGAGCTGGGGCCATTTCATTTCCTCACAAAGCCCACAGTAACCTTTTTACCTATTTTCTCCTCACCCAACTAAATGTTTAAAAATTGTTCAGAGGGATTGCGTGTATTACAAAAGTTCTCCAACTATCTGCACACTGGATGGATAAAAAGGAACATCACCTATGTCTTTTTTCTTCCTGCACTTGGTCTACACCTTTAGAAAAATTGTGACATAGAAATGAAAGTTTATTTTAAGGCTTAGGTTAGATCAGGAGGATAGGAAAATATACAATGTGCTAAACAATAAACATACTACTCACACTTGACATCATGATGAGCAGATCAAGTGCCAAGTGCGGCAGATGGCCCCGCCCCTCCCTGAGCCTGCTTCTGCCGGAGGTTTCTTCCTGTTAAAAGGGAGTTTTTCCTTCCCACTGTCGCCAAAGTGCTTGCTCATAGGGGGTCATATGATTGTTGGGTTTTTCTCTGTATCTATTATTGTAGATACAATATAAAGCGCCTTGAGGTGACTGCTGTTGTGATTTGGTGCTATATACATAAATTGAATTGAATTGAATGAGCTGATGAAGTTTGATTTAGCCCAGAGACTAAAAAAATCCTCCTTCCTATAGGCTGTGAAAATAAATAACTACAAAGTTCATGATTTATCTCAGTTTTTTATACTGGAAATTAGAGGAAGTGATATTTTTGAGATTTGGTGGATTTTATTTAAATGACATGACCCACTGGTTTAGTTTTTTTTGTCAAAGATATTAAGTGACTGGTTTAGTTTGCATGTTTGTTGTTTGCTAGCAGGGCTACTAAAAAAGAAATCGGTGGAGCTTGGCCACTCACAGAAGTGATTCGTTTTTGGATTTATTCTGGAAATGGCCCTGAAATTATAAGATTGCAAGATATGGCAAAATCTCACATGTGTACCATTTTAATGTGGTCAACAAAACATCAGGAAAGAAAAACATCTGGGCCTACATCTCCTTCTTGATCCAAAGACGTGTGGAGAAACTTCTCAGCCTCTGGTCACCTCATGTTATGTAACTCATGTCTGACTGGTTGCAACACTGTTGCCAGTCTGCATTCTGCCAAACGACATCTACGCCTGAATAAACAGCCATCGATTTATTTCAGAAAGCCAGTCATCCAGTTGTGTCACTTATTTAAACCTAAAAATGATTTCTGTGGTTTAAAGGAGCCTGACAACATGCATC